TAGTTACTTCAGAAATATTAATATCTCGAGTTACCAAAGTACCGCACCCCCAGGCCAGACCAGCGACGTAGAGGGGGTGCGATGTTAATAAAAAAATGTGATTGCGTGTCAGTATGTCCCGCATCCTACACTGACTGCCAGGGAAGGTTTTTTAGCTAATTAAAGGATAACGATCCTTTACTTTGAGGCCACAGAAATACTTGGCATGACCACGCTGAGCCTCACCTCTGCAGAGGGAAATGTCTCCCTCTCCATGAAGGGGATCCCTCCCTTCCCCAAGCGGGAAACACGGCCCGGGAGGGCAAATGGAATTGGTTTGTGGCAGAAGCCAGGGAAGGATCCAGGAAAAATCACCCTCCCTTTGAGACATTTAAGACCAAGGAAGCATTTCCCTCGCTATCATCTTGTCTGAGCAATGGGGACTGGTCCTCCGCTGATGCTGGAGAGCATTAAACCACGCAGCCGTTGAAGACGGGAGGCTGGGGCAGCTAGTTAATGGCCTAGACATCAACACACCCGTTTCACTGACCTGGGTTTCTGAGGGGACTCTTTGGGCTCCTTTGAACTGAACCAGCCGCTGGTTTTATTCCTCTCATCTCCCCCTGCCGTCGCGTGGACGGACGAGTCGTGGGAGAATCCCACTTTCTCCCCCTGGCCTTTGCTCCCCACGTCACTCTTGTTGCCCCCGTGGTGGAAGAGGCCGCCCTTCCCCTTCTTGTCTTCCTTCCTCGTTTCCTCGGGTTGTTTGTCCTTCGTCGTTTCCGTGGAGAAGACCATGGGTGTTGCAGCTTGAGTCGGCTTGTTCTCTAAGCGACTGTTTTCTTCCATCTTGGCTCTGCCCAGATGGTTACTGAGAGTGACGGCTTTCGTGGAGACCTTGAGCTCTTCTTGCAAGGCTAAGCTGGGAGGAGAGGGGATGAACCTGGGCTCGTCTCTCTGCTGTGTCCTCTCAAAGCTGCTGACCCCCCAAGGCACCTCGTGGGAGTCGGGATGGAGGGGAGTGAAGCCGAAGCCCTCCTCCTGCCGTCTGGGGACGCTGGGCACGGACAGCGGCGCAGAGCTCTGCGGGACAGACACGGGGCTCTTTGGTGCAGGTTCATCGCTGTAAACGTGGCTCCCGTTGATGCAGAGGGAAGACCGGGACACGGGATCGTTCTTTGGCTTCAGGCTTTGGATTGCTTTGGGCTCCAGGACCGGGCTGACTTGGGAGACATCATCACTGAATGCTCTCTTGTGGGTCAGCTTTGGAGATGGCAAGTAGTCTTTCACTGGGGGGAAATAAAACACAAAATGGAGGTGAGGCCATCTGAATAACAGGCACAGGTACGACAAGCATTGTTATCTTCTACTTGCAAACACTGAAGAGATCTGTGAAATCATACCGGCTTCCTCGCTCCCAGGCTCTACCGGATTACAATCAAATCACTAGAAATGCAAAGCACAGGTCACAAGTACGTGGCTATACAGGCTATATGATATTCTCCCCAAGCACATCACCTCCCACTGCAGGATCCGGAGAGGAGTCTCTGTAAGACGACAAACCCCTTGTCTGAGAGGATCTGAGATCAATAATAAATGCAAGAAACTACCCAGAAGCTACTTAAAGGGCTTATGCTTCCATGTGATTTAAGAGTTTGCGTTGAATAAAAGACGACGAGCCCCCGAGCTCCGCTCTGACAGGCCAGGCTGCTGCTGTGCGTGATATAAGCCAGGAGGGTCCAGCGCCTGCTTCTCCCTCCCACTGCCTGACCCTGTGGCTACTGCTAACTCTCAGCAGATTTTTGGGGTTACGTGGAGAGCCCGGTGAGGAGGACTGCCTGGACTTGAGGTGACACGCAGCTGCTCTCCCATTCTAGACGGAGATGCTGTCTCCTTCACCACGACACGAGGATGACGGGGCCAGACCGGTGCCTCCGCTCGCTCCCCGGCCACGCACGGGAACGTCACCCAGCAGAAACCGAGAAGCATCATGTGGGTGGCTTCACCAGCACAGTGAGAAGCAGCACGTACCCAGGGACTCCCACCCAATATGGGAATTTGCTGTCTCCAGCCAATTAAGCCATTTAATTACATATTTTGTTTTCAAGGGACGGCAAGAATTAATTCACTACAAGGGCCTTTTTTGTTTGCAAATCGCCGCTCTCCGAGCGCCAAGAGCTCAGATTGCTTTAATCACCAGGAACCGGTCACTGTTTCAGCTTTGCCTCCAAGCCGGAGGCGTCTCATTAGACAGCCGGGCAGCAGCGCAGCAGTAACGTGCTCTGCTTCGCCCAGCCCTCTCCCAGGGGCTTACTGCTACGAGTCAGTGTTAGCGACCCGCTTTTAGGGGGCAGAGCAGAAACGGTCCTAAAGAACCCTCGTGGTGCGCTGCAGGGAGCACATGCAGCATCAACCTAAGTCAGGCTGTTCATACACAGGCTCAGCATGAAAAGCAAAATCTTAGATGTCTCCCCCAGTTCTGGTAAGCACGTTACTGCCAGCACGCAGAAGGTCTCGGAGGGTTTGTGCAGGACGCCGCTTCTTAGGTGAGCAGTTAGTTAACAGATTTGCAGGAAAGCCTCAACAGTCCCTTACAAAGAAAAGAAAGGGGAAAAAAGTGGTGGTGGGGGGAGGATTAAAACCGTTATCCTCTTACCAGAGCGCTCCGTGGACAGACTGCTGTGTCTGCTCGGGGATTTGGTTACCTCGGGAACATTTGCAGCCAAGCCCAGGCTGGCAGAAGAGATGGTGCTGTCGGATCCCAGGGAGGTGTTGGATTGCGTCAGGGATGACTTGCGCAGCTTGTTCTTCAAGAAGAAGCCCTTGACTTTGGACTTCTTGCCCCCAATGTCGTAGTCATCCTCCATGTCGAGGGCGCCCATGCTGCTGGGGATGATGGCAGAAGCCGACTCCAAGTCGTATTTCTTCTTGCCTTTCATCTTGTCCTTCAGCTTGCCGAAGGGCGACCGCGGCTTGTCCTTCATGGACAGGTCGAACATGCTGGCCGTGAGGTTGTTGCGCGTAAACTGGATGCTCACCAGGATCTCACCACGCTCCTTCTCCTTCTTCCCAGCCTTGGAGTGTAGCTTGTGCCACCTGGAGCCAGAGAGGGAAGAAAAGGAGAGGCCCCTCCGTCATTTCCAAGAGCCACAAGCCAGGAAGACCTTGGGGAGGATGCTGCTGGGTGGGAGCTAGCACAAGCGCCCCAGAAGTCACCTAAGACCTGAGTCAGAGACACGCAAACACCAAGCGTGGAGGTGTCGCACGGAACCAGACTTCTCCCTGAACCACAGTGGCTTTGCAAGAGCTCTGTCTCCATCCCTGTCCTAAAGCACTTCCACTAAATAACCTGGCAAACACCACCTCGCTCACCCCGGCGTCAGATACCGCCGTGAGTTTCAGGGGAAAGTTACCGGTGGCCAAATTTTTGTATGGTCAGTTGATACGTTGCTGTGAGCCCATGTTTAAAAAAAGACGGTGCTTTGTGCTTGGGTTTTAAATATTGAAGAGCCAGTGACTCAGAACAAATCCTTTCAAGTCAGAGACAGTACCGTAATGGCAAAGGCACTCAACAACATTCATTAAAATAACTTTATGCTAGACCTTCCATGCCTCACCCTAAATAAAGATGCTGAAGTTTGCCGAGAAGTGTCCTTGCATCAAGCATTTAGAGGTTGTTGCATCCCAAGAGCCCTTTAAGGGCAGGAGGAGCTGCCGTGCAGCACCTACCCTACCCAACCCTACCCTACCCAGGTTCCTGGATTTTTGGGAAATATCTGCATCCCCACAGCCTGCCGATGGCAATCTCCAGCCTGTGGTACAGCTTTGGGATCTGTGATGACCTGATGTGACCGGTGACGGTGGAGGATGCAGCAAACCTATACGCCCATCACCTTCCCCTCCTCCAAATCCCTCAATTCTGCTGAAATGTCTGTAAAATTTGAGGCAGCCAGAAGCCTGAGCCGAGGAGGGAAAAGGACTTTATTTTAACACCCCTCGTGCCGGTCACCAAAGCCCAGCACCACGCCGCTGGGGCTGGTGAGAGCTCCCAAAGGAGCTATTGGCCATATCCACCAGCGCAAAAGCTTCAACCAGCTCCACAGCAGGTTACTGGGGGATGCTCCCCACTGCTCTGCCCCAGACAAAACCCATAACACAGACTTTGCTCCACAGCTTTGCACACAGAGATGGAAGGAGCATGGGAAAAGCCTCCAAAACATTCACTGCAGAAGGGAAAAAACCCTCCCAACCTCCATTTAGGGCCCAATCCTTCCACAGGGAACAGCCTGTGCACTGGCAGGGCATGGAGCGACCCCTGGTATGCGATGGGAGAGGGGACTTGCCTCCTGCCAGCTGGAACGAACGATGGGTGAGAGGACACCAAAGAGGAATGCCTGGAGAAACCTTCTAGTTCTCCAGTTCACAGCGGTACCACGCTCAGACGGGGCAGCACGGAACACGGGCCACAAGGGAACCATTTCTTCCCCAAAACCGCTGCCGACCCAGCGGGCCTTCGCCCCCTTCTCCTCCAGCGAGATGCCCCGTCTTTGTGCCCTGGTTCCAGGTGCCGCTTCCCAGGGCGGCTGCAGCAGGACGAGCGGGTCTGCAGCACAGCCGCTGCCCTGGCAGCTCTGATCCCTCCCGGATCAAAGTATTAAAATTCCCCTTAACAAGGCGCAAGGAAATCTGTAGGTTCAGGACAGACCCTCTTTCTCCGTGACACGCTTCACTGGCGAAACACGCAGCAACAGGAGGTGGAAGAAATTTCTAGACCTGGGTTAACAATTTCCCATTGATTTCCCGGAAAATAAAAATCCCGGTGGTGTTTTCCACCCACTCGAAAAGTAAAGTCACTGAAAAGAAAAAAAAAAAGGGGGAAGGAAAATGTGAAGGGATGGAGATGGGTGTGACCATGCTGAAATCACCAGGGCGAGGAGAAAACTTGAATCACATCCGCCAGAAGTTCCTGAATTACTGCTGGGGAAGTTATCGCATGTCGGGTGAAGGGAGGAGCTGGAAAGCCTGAGAAGGGCTTGGGAAGGGGGCACAAAACCCCTAACTCCCTGCTGGGATGCTAGGGTAAATAACAGGAGTGTACAGCTGGAAGTACCCAGGTCCTTCGCCATCCAATTCTGCTGCCACCGAAATGCAAGAGGGACAGCGCCTGGGACTTTGCTGGGCACAGACGCGGGGTTAAACCCCCAGCGACCTCATTCCTATTCCCAGCATTTGCTTATTCCACCCCCATTCGACGCCCTTTGAAAAATGTTCAGTACCCAGGCTTCAAGCTTGAAAATATCCAGGCATACAGAAAAAAAACCATGAAAAAAAGCAGCATTAACCCCTTCCAGCAAGCCAATGGCAGCAGAGAGACACTCAAAGGGGCTGATCCGCTGCCAGGGAGCAGTTAGGGGAGCAGGAGCAGGTGAGTCAGGCGGACTCTTCCCGTAGGAGCAGTGAGGAAAAGGCTGCTTGGAACAGGCTGTGGCCACAGCACATCAAATATTACGTTGCTCAGTTTGATGCGAGACCTGGAAGAAGTTCAAGAAGGAAGGGCTGCAGCAGCCTGCCAGCTGGGAGAGGAGAGATTTGGGGGCTGAATCATTTAGCAGGAAAAGAAAAAAAACCTCGCGAGTAGTTTTTATATCTTACGTCATCCCATGGAAAAAAAAAAAAAAAAGAAAAAAAAGAGAGAGAAAATCTGGGTGGATTAACATAAGGAAAGGCACAAGCTTGAGGATGATGAGATGTAACAGCCCGTAAGAGCCCTGCACTGGCTCAGCTCACATGGATACGCTCTCAGCATCTCCCGTCCCATCACTTATAACGTTGTGGTCGTTAAAATTAATTTGGGTGCTCGGCGGCGACACCTTTGAAAGAACAAGCCTTAAAACCTGATCTCTTCAAAAAGCGTCCGTTCAAGGAAAAACCTCTGCTTATGCTGGCGCTGGATTAAGGAGCTGTTTTTGGTTCCCTAGACCTAATCAGCAGTCGGCAAGCAGTCGGGACTACACCTCAAACAGGGAACAGAGCTATTTTTAGGCTGAGCTCTAAGTTTATGGCACAAAATGAGTGTTTGGGAGGACTAAGTTGTTCCATGTTAGGTTTTTCTTTTTTTTTTTTTTTATGAATCAGTTCCAGTGGAAACAGGAGGTGCAAACACTGCCTCAGCCGGGATGCGGCAGGAGGGCGGGTTTCAAGTCTCAGCCCAGCTAAACACAAACTCCCGCAGCATCTTTTCGCTATTAACCCCATCCCACACCCCTCGGTTTCCCACGTTTCTTCCACGAGCTGCCCTTGGGGGGAAGCCCTGGGTGAGGGGTTTCTGAATTAGGGCCACCCGAGCCCAAGCCTCAGAGCGGGACGCGATCTCTTTTACGGGACTAGATGATACACCTGGGGAAAAAATAACAGCTTCTGCAGATGCAAACCCTTTTCCAGGTCTGAAATAGCAGCCGTGGGCTTCGCGGCTCAGGCTCAGACCAATCGCTCTGAATTTAACTGGGTTATATTAATCAGACTGTGGAAGAGGTGCCGGCACTGAGGAGCGCGGGGAGATTGAGGAAGCCGTGCCAAGCACGTCCAGCACCGGGGACCCAGGACTGCAAGGACCCGCTTCTCGGAGGTGTTTTGGAGGCCTCTCTTGAGGAAGGTGCCACCAGTTTGGGTCCAGCTCCTCACTGCACGGGACATCCAGGACAAGCCACCCATCTCTGGCCACCTACTCCCGGGGTGCTGTTCTTAGCAAGATTTGGAGGGGCCACAGCCTGACATGGATTTTGCTAGTTAACAAATGTTAAATTAAAGAGGGTCTCTTCTCCCGGTGCCAGAGCTGGTGGGGACAGGGAGAAGGATCGCTCCTAGCTAAGGAGACGTGCTCTGGCCCCGAGCCCGTGCTCCTTCCCTGCTCCCTGCAACTGGAAACGGGTCTCCTCCTGAACACGGAGCGGAGGATGAATCCTGCAGCTTCCCAGCCTGCTGGTCCCATATCAACACCCTCCTCCCGCTCCGTGGAGAACTGCTCCTTTCCACCCGCCAGCTACTGCCCACCTCCACTGCAAAGGTGATGCTTCTGCTGAGACACCTCGGCCCTGGCCGTATGGGGAGCCAAGCTTGCTCAGAGACATTTCCAACGCAACACGTCCAGGGAACACAGCTCGAGCCAGCTTGAAGACACGAGCTGCAAGTTCAGGCAATTAGCTTTTGCTAAAAAAAACCCACATTCTTCCCTCTTATGCCCCACAGGTCTAGCGCCTCTGTGCATTGGGTGCCGGCTTGCAGCATTGCACCATGCTGGGCGTGCATCCCCCCAAAGGCAAAGGACTTCTCCCAGCATCACCCCAAGATCTGCCATCCACGGATGCTGCGGCAGGCGGACACCCAGGCCCCGGGGATCTCTGCAGGGGGAAGGAAGCAGCAAGCCACCCCAAAACACAGGGACGGGAGAGGAAACCTCAAACAGAAAACTCCCCACAGACGCCCCAGAGAGGGGAAGCAACTGGAGGCCCCTGCAAGCTCTCGGGCAGCTCCTGGGAAGTGGGACGTGCTCCGGGGGTTTGCAAGCTCACATCCTGCTGCAGTAACACTGCTTGTGGGCACTGATGTACGGCGAAGGGCTCCCCAGCCCCCCTGCGTGGCTGTGCACGCTCATTTAGGTCACCGTGTTTAATCAGCACATCCAAACTGCCTCCAGACAGTTTCAGGAAAACCCTTTCCTCTGTGCAAAGGCTCCTCTCTCCTCCCACTTGCCTCCACCGAGAGTCAAGGAGGACAGCGAGCCACGGAGCACGGCTGCCAAAACGCAGGTTTGGGAGAAAAAAACAGAAAGCGCCCGGCATCTATTTTTACATTTGCCGTTGCCAGGATCAATTGGAGCAGCAAGGGAGGCACGGACAGCAGAACACAAAGCGCTGCTGTATCTCCAGCCCCCCAAAAAACACGTGCTTTCCCTCATCCTCTAGCAGCATCCCATACCGGAAAGCCAGCTAGTGCTGAGCAAAGGGAAAAAACACCCTGCCATGGAAACAAGAGCGTAGGAGCTGTTTGTTAAGGAGGGAGAGCGACCCCACGGAGGATGCTGACAGGATGGATTTGCTCGGGGTCAGCGCCTGGTTCGCACCGTCCCCCCCCTCCTCTGCTCTTTGTCCTCCGTTGGGCTGCAGGTGACCGTTTATGGGGGGCACGGGAAGCCCCCGCTCCTAAAAACCTTGCGTTGGGTATCTGAGCTACAAGGGGAAAATGCTTGGGCAGTATTTTCTCCCCGTCCATGAGAAAACTCGTTTGGTTTTATGTGACACCTGGTCTGCGTGGGCTGCCCCAACACCTCCCAAGATCAGAAGACAAGCTGCTGGGATGACCAGGAGGACAGAGAGCCAACCCTTAACAGAAAGGCAACGCTGACCGTGATCCGAGGCTTTCTGTCACGTTGTCCCTTCCACGTCCCCCTCCTGATCAAGCAACTCCTTCAGCACAAAACCAAGCCCAAAGCTGAAGCCCCCATCCTGTCAGCAGCTTCGCGGGTCGCCGTCCCAAAGCCCTGGGGTGATCCAAGGTCATTTCATTGGTTCGGGATTACTACAGTCGCATGCAACATCACGCAGGGGAGATAGCCCAGCAACACCGGGACGAGGTCAGGCGAGCAGGGCAGCGCACGCAACACGGCTCTCAGAGGTGCCATGTGCACCATCAGGGCACCATCCTGCCCTGCTTTCAGGGAGGACGTGGGTCCTTCCAAGAGGGATGTGGGTCCTTCCAAGGAGGACCACCTTTGCTCTCCCATGGG